AACCTTTAATTTTATTTTAATTTAAGGTTTTTAATTTAATAAGTATCAATTTAGTTAGACTCTTATTAGTAGCAATGCAATAGTATTATATAATTAGCTTGAGAAGGGATTTATTCCGTTTACAAATTTTACAAATTATATTTATATAAAATCTTAATTATTTAGTTTTTTATTTTTAATAATTGAGATTTATTTTTATATATTAAAAATAATTATTTTTTATTTAAAAAATTATAACAAATTTCATAAACTAAAAATAAAAAAATAAATAGTTAAAATTTTTTAAAAAATATAATATGTAAAACTTGTATAAATAGATTTATATTCTTATTTTTATTTGGTAAATATAATCAATTTTGTTATTTGATACAGAAAAAAAATCGCATTTAATACGGAGACAAGGGAAGAATGCAAAAAGAAAAGGTTGAAAAAGGGGAAAAAAAAAATTGAAACGATTCGTTTGGACAAAACCAACCCAATCCGGTATTCATGGATTGGATTGGATCCATATAAAATTGGGTTCGGTTTGTATCAAATTTGTTTTAAACCAACATTTTTGTGGGTTGGGTTAAAAACTTGCAGCCTTATTTGCCGCACCCTCCTCAATCGTCATAGGCATATTTTCTGGTTCTTTCGCGAGTTCTCCCTGCTGCTGCTACAGGTACCTCTCTCTCGAATTCTCCATGAAACAGACGAAGCTGGGATTGGATTGTTGGATTGATTGTTGTGGATATTAGGGTTCTTGAATTCTGTGTTTCTGCTTCTTCTACTTGTCGATTTCCCCTTTTTTAATGGCTTATTTGGATGCGTTAGGTCTACTGATTTGTTCTCGACTTATTTGAACAGCAGCAATTACGATTTCTTCTTTAGCAAATTGAAGCTTTCATTTTGTCTTTTCCTTTAAGGTTTCAATCCCCTTTCTTATTGAAAGAGCTTAACAGACTTGCCCTCTTTTGTTTCTTGGGGTTGTATCCAAGTTTAAATTTTAGGCGATTCGACTTGAGTTCGTGCTTGAACCCAAAAATGGTTAGTTTCTATTATGATTTTTTTTTTTTGGGTGTTATTATCAGTTGTTTTCTTTGCCATTAATTTGTCTATTGTTTTCTGCTTTTGCTCATTCCCAGGCAACTCTGGCAGATTCCTTTCTCGCCGACCTTGACGAGTTATCTGACAATGAAGCTGATTCGCTTGTAAGTAGAAATAATTATTTCCATCTTAATCCTTTTTCTTTTTCTTTTTTTCATATTCCACTTGCATTCGGCCTCGTTTGGGTTGATAGAAAGAAGGAAGGGGTTTGAGAGCAGTAATTTTCTATTGATTTTTGTTTTATCATTGACGTTGTTGGTGATGTTTATGTCTATTGAACAGGAGGAAGATAATGCTGAGGATGCAAAGATGGAGGAAGATGTTGATGGAGACTTGGAAGACATAGAAGCCCTTAATTATGATGATTTGGATAGTGTTTCAAAATTGCAGAAAACACAGAAATATATTGATATAATGCAGGTCAGTTTATTTCCTGCAAATGCTTCTTCTTCTTCTTCTTTTTTTCACTTTTCTCCTGTAGTAAGCTTAGGTTATAACTAAGTTTCAGGTGTTTTCCCCCTCACCTTTTTTTTTAATGAAAAAAAAGTTTCATGGTTTAGAGTAGATAATCTTGTTTGACTTTTGTTGAGTGTTTATGTTGACTATTTGCATGCTTAGTTCCATTGATCATACTGCAGAAAGTGGAAGATGCACTTCTGAAGGGTTCTGATATATCAAACCAAGGAATCGTACTAGAAGATGATCCTGAGTACCAGCTGATTGTGGACTGTAATGCATTGTCAGTTGAAATTGAGAATGAAATCATTATAATCCACAATTTTATTCGTGATAAGTATCGGTTGAAGTTTCCTGAGCTCAAGTCGTTGGTGCATCATCCAATAGATTATGCTCGTGTTGTGAAAAAGATTGGCAATGAGATGGACTTAACACTAGTTGATCTTGAAGGACTCTTGCCATCAGCCATCATTATGGTTGTCTCGGTGACTGCATCAACTACAAGTGGCAAGCCACTTCCAGAGGATGTTCTTCAAAAGACAATTGATGCATGTGATTGAGCTCTTGCTCTTGATGAATCAAAGAAAAAGGTCCTTGATTTTGTTGAAAGTAGAATGGGATATATTGCACCCAATCTCTCTGCCATTGTTGGTAGTGCTGTTGCAGCAAAACTTATGGGGACTGCTGGTGGTCTTTCAGCATTAGCCAAGATGCCTGCCTGTAATGTTCAGCTGCTTGGTGCAAAGAAAAAGAACCTTGCAGGGTTTTCTACTGCAACGTCACAATTTCGTGTTGGTTATCTTGAACAGACAGAGATATTTCAAACTACACCCCCTGCTTTAAAAAGTCGTGCTTGTAGAGTATTGGCTTCAAAATCCACTCTTGCAGCAAGGATAGATTCCACCAGAGGGGATCCATCAGGGAATGCTGGAAGGTTGTTTAAGGATGATATCCTTAAGAAAATAGAGAAATGGCAAGAGCCACCCCCTGCAAAGCAACCTAAACCACTTCCTGTTCCCGATTCTGAACCTAAGAAAAAGAGAGGTGGTCGTCGTTTAAGGAAGATGAAGGAAAGGTAGTGCAGATTTGCACGTTTTATTATTTACATTGCTTTAGTCTACCTATTTTATTTTCTTATTGGTAATTCTTGGTGAACTCCTCATTTTTTGGCCAACTAATTCTTGATAAAGAATAAATTATCTATACATTTTTTTCCCATTCAGTTATGCTATAACTGACATGAGAAAGTTGGCCAATAGGATGCAGTTTGGTGCACCAGAAGAGAGCTCCTTGAGTAAGTTTACTGTTTTCATCTTGTCAAGAATCTCAACTAATTATCATTTTCTCATAAGATTCTTAAAACCATGGTGTTGAATGTGATCTCTGATACAGCATGAAAATAGACAGGAGATTGTGCAAATGAAACATATTGTCTTGTCATTTTGTATGTGATATCTGTAATGTTCAGATCCTGTTATGAACTTATGCAAGTGCCTATTTCCTTTTTCTTTTTTCTCGAAAATTTAATTTTATGCTGTATCTTCTTTGAAGTTGATGAATTGCAATATATTTCATGTAATTATTGAGTAACTGAGCAGTACTTTGGCTAGTTTATTCCATTTTCTTACGGTTTACGTGCTTTCTGACAATAGTTGATGGACTGGGGGAGGGTTATGGAATGCTTGGGCAGGCTGGAAGTGGAAAACTGCGCATGTCAGTTGGGCAGAGCAAACTTGCTGCAAAAGTAGCTAAAAAGTATGCCTTCCAGTTTTGAAGGATTTTAATTTAAGAAGTCCACACTTTGTTTCAGAGTTCATGATTTTTTTCCTTTTTGTTTCATTAGTCTTTTTTATCCAGTCCTCAATCTCAACCTTGTCTTTTGATCTAATGTCATTTTATCTTTTACTTTTACTCAGGTTCAAGGAAAAGTCTTATGGAAGCAGTGGTGCTACTTCTGGATTGACCTCAAGTTTGGCATTTACACCTGTCCAGGTATCTTATTTTGTACTTTGATCATGAATTGAGATGTCAATGTAGAGAAGAGAATTTGAATATGGGACTTTTCTAGGTCTCAACGTATCCTGAACTGTTGGCCCAATGCCTAATTGAATTATGTAGCACAGTTGTTACTGATCAAATATGTCTGACATAGGACAGGGTTGGAAATCTGCCTGTGACTTTGGTGGTTTAGTTTCAAGAATTAAGGAAACCCAGGCTTTGTAGCATGGTGTCAGAAAGGTTTTGATATTGGGACTTAAATGGGAGTGTAAAAGTTCAGTTTAAAAGGCTGTTTGTGTTGCTGGTAAGAGAAAAAAGGCTCTTCCCTGGGATTAAAGACGACCATTTCACTTTCAATCATTTTAGGGGAAAAAAAACTTATTTATTTATTTATTTATTTATTATTATTATTATTATTTTTATGGCAAGTATCAGTAGAGTAGAGTTATCAAGGATTTTGTAACATCTTTAACCTTACATAACTGTTGGGGATAAATGCCGAGCACATTAGAATCGCTGATCAGTTTGTAGAATTTTCAGGAGGGGACAAACAGCAGTAACTATGCCAATGTGGGACTTACTGTGGAGGTGAGTTTATCAAATTCCTGGAACAACTTGCTTTCAAATTATACCTTTGTAGGTGAATTGCATTTTCTGAGACATTTGATTACACTCATTTATTATTGGTTGTTCCTACCAGGAGTAAATAATTTTTAATGCTAATAAGTTGTAAAGGTTAAAAATTCAGGCAAACTAACAGCTTAGGAAAAGCAATTCTATCCTGAGTAGCCTAGAAGCTGTATACTGCTGCATGGTTGTGGCCTTAAAGAGCATGGGAATATTGATAATTGAAAATTAGAAGTCATTCTTACTCTTCTACTCCTATGTGGCACTAATGCGTCACCAAAACATGCAGAGTAATTTATTTTGGAGCAAATTAATATAACCTTTGTTAATTAGTTTAATAGATTAAAATTTATGATTAAATATATTTAAGTAATTTCTAAAATATCATTTACAATTTTACCCTTTAATCCTTATTGTGTATAAGGGTCAAAAATGTATTTCTACTACTATATAAGATATGTAAATGTCATGTTAGCATTCACTTATTCAATAACAAGTTATGGTCATCATTGTAAGCTTATAATCGTTGCAAAAAATGAAATGGACAAATGTCAAGGTGATTTTTTGTTTGCCTCCTTTCTCCTATATCTCTATGTAACTGCTCTTTCTTTAACCTAATTGACTAAAATTCAGATCAAACCTCTCTTCTCTTCATATATGATTTTATATCTAAATAGAAAAGATTTGATTTCTTTTACAAATAGAGATGTCTAACTTCAATTGTGCAAAGAATGTTTTATCTATTACCAAGAAGCTATTTCTATCTAAACCACAAAATAATGGGATGAAAATGATGAATTATATAGGAATAATATTTTATATAATCAATTAGTTTTCTATCTTTATAAGTTGTAGTATTATTCACAAATAAATTGGGGTTTATTAAAAAAAATCTTTTGAATTTGTTTGTAAAAAAGAAAGAAAAAGAAAAAAAAAACTCCTCTTAGAAGTAGGTTTTTAGGAGTCATGGTAGTTGGATGTTGTTACCCCCCGAGTGCTAAAAAATAAGAAACTTCATTAACGATATCTTTGAATGGTTAAAAAAATAAGAGAGAATGTATATATATTGGAGCATACAGACTAGTTCAACACAATGCATCAAAATAGAAACAAAAGATATAAAGCTTATAAATAGACTATCCATTTTATTACTTTCAAGCATATCACCACCTTACATTCTGAATATAAAAATTCCTGATTGGAAAGTGAAGAAAACAGGTGACAACTAATAAAAGAAACACAGATGCCAAATACTGTTAATGGGATTCTATTACATAGGATTTTTTTCATTCATTCAAATACAAGATACTAGTATCCTATTTAAAGGATTATATAACCGACTAAAGTAAACAAAATATCAAAATTTTACAGTATGAGCCTAGATAAAGCTGACTCATGGATTAAGAGAAAAGTAAAATTCATGGATTGAGAAAAGGTTATGAATTAACTACATACTATCATGAATTAAGTACATACTACAAACTTTTGGAAATTGAAATTGCATATTATGAATACCTTTGCATATAGTAGGATACATGTGCACAAAAAAGAAATACAATACTAGAATCTTGAAAGAATTTCCATGATAAAGTAGTAGCAATTGGTGACACACCTCTCAACCAAATAAAACCATGCTCGTCGCCAATATGGATTTATGTACAGGACTGCTACAATTGATAGTAACACAATCACATAAGTAACCACGAAGCTAATGTGGAAAATATCCATATCTATGGAATTGCATTCTTTTTCTTCATCTGAGGAATTTGGCACCTTTGGTTCTGAGTTGGTTTCCTTGCAACTTTTATCCAATGGTGGTCCACAAAGAAGGGGGTTTCCCTCGTAGCTACTCTTTTCAAAGGTCCCAAACTGTGCTTTTCCATATGGGATGGTCCCTGAAAGGTTATTGTGTGCAACACTAAAAACTTCCAAAGAGTTGAGTTCAACAAGTTGAGGTGGAATCGCACCATTCAAGTTATTGAAAGAAAGGTCTAAACTCTCAATCTGCTTCAAACTTGAGAAGGTGGATGGAATGGATCCTGTGAGATTGTTGTGAGACAAGTTAAGCGAATGGATTTCACTCAAGTTTCCCATTTCAGGTGGGATTAAGCCTGTTAATTTGTTGCAGGAAAGATCAATTCCAGACATATTATTAAGAATATGACCTTCATAATTGTATGAGCACCCCTTTGTTGTGAACTCTACCTCATCTTTTCCATTACTAATTTGAATAGTAAATAAGAATGCCACTTCTTCTACCACCTCCTCCATCATTGTTGACTTTTTCAAGTTTTTGAATGATTGATCTTCGATTTCAGATAAAGTTGTGAATGTGCTCCAGAAAGTCGTGAGAGTCGTGAAAGAATATATTGGAGTACTTGGTTTAAGAGTTAAATGACTCAAACAAGAAGGTATAGAACCAGAAAATTGATTATGAGATAGATCAATCATGCTTAGTTGTTCCAACTCACATACTTCAATGGGAATTTCACCAAAAAAGTGATTACCTTTTAGTAGCAAAACACTCAACTTAGAAAAGTTGCCAATCCATTTTGGAATGCCTCCAGTAAGGTTGTTTTCTCTTAGGTCTAGTACCACCAAAGAAGACATGTTGTAGAATGAATGTGTCAATGGACCATTCAGTCTATTTTTGCCCAAATAGAGATGTGTTATGTTTAATGGATTGGGGCAAGATGGTAAAGAACCAGAGAGATTATTTTTGGAAAGGTCTAGAAATTCAAATGCATCATTATAACAGAATTCCTCTGGAATTGAACCCTTGAAATAATTGTTGGACAAAACCAAGCTGTCTAACTGAGTGAGATTCCTTATCCATCTTGGAAGCTTGCCTGACAAATGGTTGTTGCTGATGTCCAATACTGCTAGAAATGAAGAGCTAGAAAGTTGAGATATCTCTCCTTCAAAATCGTTTCCATCTAGATATAAGTACCAAAGTGATTGTGAGTTGAATATGGTGGCAGTTAGTTTCCCGCTAAGGTTGTTATTTGAAAGTCTGAGATTATATAATGAGTTTCCCACAGCTAACTGGTCTGGTATTGAACCAGAAAATCGATTGTTAGATAGGTCTAGAATTTGTAAAGAGTTCATCCCACCCAACCAGTTGGGAATTTTGCCTTCGAGGGCATTTCCAGACAACAATAATTTCTCCACAAATGGAAAAATCAAATTGATATTTGATGGGATTTGACCATGTATTTGGTTGTTCGAAATATCTATTCCTACAACATCGAGACTAGGATGTGATGGCAAGAGGAAATGACCCATAAAAGAGTTATTCTTCATGAGAAAAACCTGTAATCTTGTATTGTTTTCGAACAACCAATAAGGTAAGACTCCACCAAATTTGTTAAAAGAAAGATCAACTAGTTTCAAGTCATATTGGTTATAAAGGAAGCTAGGAGGTTTGATGAAGTGTTCTTCTGCCCTACAATTTGACAAGCTGAAGATACTTGGTTGGAACTTAGAAACCCTAGTTTGAACATGATCTTGTTCTGAGACTAATTGATTGAAATCACTCAAGAAAACTTTCAAGTTGGAATGGTTTGCAAATGCCTTGAATGAATCTGGAACTTGAAAGTGATTGTTTGAAATAGAGAGATATTGTAGTAATGTAAGATGAGTTAGGGGAGAGGACGCAATATTTTCAGTGAATTGATTGTGGGAGAGATCCAAAAGTTGAAGAGATGTCAAATTACCCAAGCAAGAAGGTAGAATCCCTGACAGTTTATTTTCACGAAGATTCAACTCTTTAAGGTTCTTCAAATCACACCAACCTTTAGTAGGTAATGCACCAATCAACCCACATCCTTCCAAAGATATTGACTTGAGAGAAGTGAACAGCCCAATGGTTTGCAGAAAGTTGCTGTCAAGAGGGGAGTCGAATAAGAAGAGCTCCTCTAGATTGCTCAAAACATGCAGGTCTGTAAAAAGGTAATCATATTTCATAGATATTAAGAAAATTATCTCAAAAGGAAAGCAAAACTATGATCTTAGAATGACACATGTCACTTACTTTGATTTAGCATGGTTTTGTTAATATTGTTTTTAAATAAATATAGGGTTTTTAGTGATGGGAATGCCACTAGTGATAGCTGCTGCAGTTGAACACCACTTTCCTCATCTTGATCATAATCATCCTCATAGTCATAATAATAACCACCTAGATGAAGGGACTTTAACTTGTTGAAACTCATATTGGCTGTGGGTGAAAAGAAAATGAAGATCAATTCTAGTCAAATAAATACATGTAGTTAGTTGAAGAGTTAATACAAAATAATCACAATTTCATTGAATTAATACCTTTAGTGGCAGCCCCAAATTGGTTGAGCATGTTGTAGCTCATATATAGCTCTTCCAAGTTGCTCAAAGCATCAAATTCTAGGAGAACCACAAAGAATTAAAGTTGATTAGATCTCTCATAAGGAAGAGGTCATTGCTTTCAAAGTAGTAAGAAAAAGAAAATTAATGGATTGCTAAACTTACCTGTAACATCTACCAATCCTTTTATTTTGTTAAATGCTATATCCAGAGATTTGAGATTTGTGAATTTATTAACAAAAGATAGCACACTGTTGTTGAAGAAATTATGTCTCAGATCAAGGACCTCTAGATGAAGAAACATCAAACTTTGTTGTTCTTCTGTAAAAATGGTATGTTTTCTCATTACAATTGATCTTATGACTATTTATTAACTATAAAATTGGAAAACCAAATATATATGTACCTTGGGAAGATTCAAGGCTTTCAATTTTATTCCAGTCCATGAATAATCTTCTCAAGTTTATCAACTTACTTAATCCTGTTTTAGTACACCATAAAAATTAAAAATAATCAAATATATCAAGATAACACATTGTTTAAAGGAAAAAATATAACAAAATAAAAAGAAAAATAGTAGAAAGTAAGCTTACCTTGAGTGCTAACAGTGCCTTTTAGTCCACATTCAGATATGGATAGGGTTTTTAAAGATGAAAGGTTACCTAGATAGGATAGGGTGTTGTTTTGTATGTCATTACCACTTATATCAAGAAATTCCAAATTGCGAAGTTTTGATAGCTTTTCAAAATCAATTGCTGCAAAAGAACGATGTCATTAATTAAATTAATCAATAATACAATACAGTGTTTTCCTTTTTTCTAATTATATAGTATCAAGTTAAAACTTTACCATCCATTTGGTTTGATATCTTGAAGTTGTTATAGGCTAGAGTTAGAGATTTGAGAGATGAAAGTTCACTCAAATATGACAATATGCTGTTATTGAAGAAACCCCCAGTCAAGTCAAGGATTTTTAAATTTCCTAAGTTCTTTGAAAGTCTATAGAAACCTGCAAACAATTTGCACAGGAATTATTGATCAATATTTTTAAGTTGACACATTGAGAAATTCCAAATTGCAAAGTGTTGACAACTTTTCAAAATTAAATAGCTGTCACAAATTAACAATCAAAACATGATATTGCTAATTAAACTAATGAATATCATCTCTACCTCTCTTGTGAACTATATATATATATATAATATCAAATTAAAACTATACCATCTATATGGTTTGATGCATTTATGTTGTTCCCGTGCAGATTTAGAGACTTGAGAGATGGAAGTTTACTCAAAGATGATATAATGCTATTATTGAAGAAATTCCAACTCAAATCAAGGATTTCCAAATTGCTCAATTTCTCTGTGAACCTATCAAAACCTACAAAAAAATCAAGAGAATTACTAATATACATTTTGAAATTTGCATTAATATAATAATCACAAAATTGTGTTCAGATTAAGGCAGAATAAAAAGAACCTTCATTTTCAATGCAACCTGCTATCCTATTCCTAGGCAAGTAAAGACCTTTTAATTCCTCAAATGGAAGAAACAAAGAGCTATTCAAATGCCAGTAAGGACGGCTATAATATAATCCGGCCCTTGTAGAATTAAGATAGAGTGCAATAACACGTCCAGTGGAGGGGTTGCACTCAACCCTTTCCCATTGACAACAATTTAAATTGTGAGCTCCTCTACTCCAGTTTCTCAAAGGTCGACCATTAAAAGATATTTTGAGTTGCAGGAGAGCAGTTCTCTCTTGCTCCAGACAACCACTGCAGCGACAACATTGTATTAATAGTAGAGTAAGTACCGAACACAACCAGTACTTAAGCCCCATCTAGTTAGCTATATCTATTTCCAGTTTTCTGAAAATTGAGTTATGCTATAGAGCTAGCTGAGTTTTGTAGGGTATATATAGAATTAGTAGGCAAGTTAGCCAAACCACGTGCTTCTTCTATATGTTTTTTCATCTTAATTTCCACGAATTTTCCTTTCCTTTTTATTTATTTATTTTTATTTTTATTTTTTTGATAAATTTGTTTTATGTCTTTATTTTACTTTGTTGTGATGATTTTGTATTGTTAGTGGAAGACTGACTTGTCAGTGGAAGACTTTGATGTTAATTGCGGTGTTTTCTGTCTTGTGGAATATCTTTTAGGAAGACGTTGACTCGGTATCACTTTTCTTAATATTCAGCAAGGTGAAATTATTTCTACCAAAAAAAAAAAAAAGCAAGGTGAAATTAAAAATGGTTATCTTGAACTCTTTCTCTCTCTCTATTGCAAAATAATTTTGAAGGTAAATTTGGGCATTCGGCTATCTTTTTTTTTCTACATATCACTTTCTTGTTGAGGCTTGAAATCTGTTGTTCCTCGAACGTATTTGGAGTGTGCGGTGGCTCCGCCATGACTGGTTTTGGGTTGTGAATCTGTGAGGATGTGGTTGGCGTTGGGTGGTTGGCGTTGGGTGGTTAGGTAATGTGTCCTGCTGCTGGTCCCTGTACTTAACTATTTGTTCACGGTTAAAATACCATTTTAGTCCCTCAACTTTTTACTTTAGTATCAAAGTTGTCATTGAACTTCAAAAAGTATTAAATTATCTCTAAACTTTTATTTTTAGTACCAAAATGATTTTTCTGTCGATTAAATATACAGGTGGCACGTTATGTTGCCAGAATGTCAATCCTTATAAATTTTTTTAAATGATGTGTAAACTAAAATATTTATTTATTTCTGATTTGGCTTTTTTATCATTATTTTGCAATTTTTCAACCAAAAAAAAAAAAATTCTATCTTCTTCTTCCTTTCCTCTCTCAATCCTTAGACAGTTGCCTTCTCATTTCTACCTCCTTCCTTTCCCTGCTCATCCTTCTTCTTTCTTCTTCTTCTTTCTCTCTCTCTTCTTCCTTCTTCTTTCTCTCTTTCTTCCTTACCAATTTGAGGTTTCTCAACCTAGATCTGAAATGACGTATCCTTCTGTCTGTTGAAAAAATAAATCCTTCTTCTCCCAATCTCCATTCCCACCATCTCTGCAATAGCAACGACACACCAAACCCTCAACGATTTATTGTTTCTAATTCAGCGACATAACAATATGTCCTGTCTTTCTCCAGCAGAGGTAGCTCGAACCCTTGTTGTGTCCAAATACTGGTACTTCATTGCAACCAAACACGCACCAAAAAAGAAAGCAAAAAAACTTAGCCTGTATGGAAACAACCCAAATCTGGGTTCTTGTGATCAATGCCAAAGGGATCAAATCTTTGTAATCCTTGGCTCAATTGACTATGTCCATCATCAATCCATGGCTTTCATGGGGAATGGTTTTCTTAGAAAACCGAAATTGGGTTCTTTCTTAGAGAGAGAACCTAGATTTGAGTTCTCGAGGGAGAATCCACACAGATCTGGAAGGGGAAAGAGGAGGAAGAAGAAGGGGGAGAGAGAAAGAAGAAGAAAAAGGTAGAAGGAGGAGGCAACATGAGGAAGGAGGAAGTAGGCTGGAAAGAGGAAGAGGCAGAGGGATGACAGAGAAAAATGGAGGAAGAAGATGAATAATATAATATGTAAATTATGTGGGTTTTTTTATTTAAATAGGAAAAGAAAAAAAGGCCATCTCATTACCTATTGCATAGTTTATTTTTCACATAATTATTATTTTTATAAAAATGTGATTTTGTGGTATTTTAAAGTGTCACATATTTATTTAACTGACGGAAAGATTATTTTGATATTGAAAATGAAAGTTTAGAGATTATTTCGATATTTTTTGAAGTTCAGGGATAATTTTGGTATCAAAGTGAAAAGTTGAGGGACTAAAATAGTATTTTAACCTTTGTTCACATATTCAACATTTAAAAATTAAATAACCAAATCAAATTTGAAAAATCAAAAAACGTGTTTTTATGGCTAGTAATCAATAGAGATATCAAGGGTTCTGCAACATCTTTAAATGTTGGATGCAAAGTGAAAAAACAGGGGAAAAGTGATAAAAGAAACAGGAAAACAAAATGCTGTTCGTGGAATTCTATATAACATAGGATTGTTTGATTAAGGTATTCAAGAGTACTAAAGGTACTCGAAAGGATGATGGGCCATCAATAGAGATTCCTAATAATCTACACATGTTTAAATGAAATGTACCCCTAATTTTTTTATTATTATTTTGAGTTATATAAAAAAATATAACTTCCTTTCATCTCTTAATTTAATTTTACCTATATATCTTGGTGTGTGATTCGTGTGGCCGTTATATGGGCATTTCATTCACACCATTGGAGCTCAATCCCTCTTGCCCCCATTTCCCCCTCTCTTCCCCACAATTCCCTTTGTACACAAAAAAAATTATTCTATTTGCATGCCAAACAATTTGAATTTAAAATTTTTTATCTCTAAAAATTATTACTAAATTATTTAAATGATAAATATCTCTTTTAAAGTATCTTATGTTTAGATGAGTAAAAAATAAAAAATTATTACTGTAAAATAAATTAAATTAAATTATTCCCTTCCAACATGGTGTAAAAGCTATTATATTAGGAGACCTCGACTTTATATCACCATCATGCGCAGCACAATCTGGAAAAAGAGTGGAGTGAACAACAGTGCCTTGCTGTTTCATTTCTGGATGCGTATCGTGCCAACTGCCAAGCAAGATTTTAAAATGGGGTTAAAATATATCTCTAGCTTTCTGTTACGTTTTAGTTGCGTGGCTTTTATTTGTTTTTTTTTGGCTGTTGATAGTAATGGAAAGACATATCATTTAATATTAGTAGTTAAATTTAAAGTTATTTAATCAATATAATTTGTTGAAGAAATTAAGTTATCTCTACATTTAATTGGAGGATAAATTTATCCCTGTTCTTCATATATTTGGGGTTCGGTCTAGTTAAAATAAAATATAAATGTTCCTTGGGCTTTTAGCAATGAACATATTGCATTATATTACAAAAAAATTAATTTTAAGAAATAAAAACACCAATAATTGACAAAATAGAGAAAATGCGACCTAATAGAAAATTTTAGGTTTAGAAGTAAAGCTTTCAGCTTTGATCCATAGGAAAAATGAGGCATTGAATATTCTAAATTGCTTCTTGTAGTGATCAAGATATCGGAGGAGATACGTTAGAAGATGAATTTTTTGTCAATTATTTTGATTAGAAAATTAAAAGTTAAAAGTC